GCCCGGGTGGGCCCGGTCCGGCGGCCGCCGGCCGGCGCCGCCGGAGCCTGCTCTCGGGCGAAACTCCTGCCGCCTGCGTGCCGGCTTTCCCATCTGCGGCAGTGCCTCTTCGCGCCGCAGGCGCGCGAACCGCTGAGGCGAGGGGTAACACGTACTGTCGGCTTGCTTTTTAAAAAAGGTCGTTAAAAGGAAGCCAGCCTGCCGAATTTGTTTTTGGTAATTCTTAGCTACTATAAATAAAGCCCGATGCTTTTCTTTCTCACGTCCTGAAGAATAGGAGGCGCGTACAAATAAAAGGGAACCCTTAACAGCCATTTGAGGAAAGCAGTGAAACAGATTGAGGGCAGCGTTGTCAATTTACAGTCAACGCAGGTAATAGTTACTGTAATTTTCTGCAAGCTTGAACTTAATTTGCAGGAAAAGTACGCAGGATTCTTGAGAATCAAGTGACCTTAAGTTGCTCTTGCTGTGATTTATTGATTTGTATGAATTATTTTGGACACCGCATATGCAAGGTGTTGTGACTGTAAGGAATAGAAGTGATCAACCACAAATACATAAATGTAGGAAGCTTTTAATTTAATTTTATTTTTTTATTCATGTGCTGGTTTACAAGTGTAATTACTCACAGTGTCTTCTTCATGGTGTTACTGTGGGGCTGTTGGCACCTCACAATAAAAAGTGCCGTTTGCAGAATTCTAGAGGTGCCTAGGAAAAGACACGGTGTAAGTTCTGATGTATCTTGAAGGGTATTTCAGCTCTTATTGGATGTGAGTTCAAAGATAAGCTTTGTGTATATTTTATGTTGATTGAGACACCTGTACTAACTTACCATTTTCTTTCAGGTACCTCGTCAATACCTTGCAGAGGCAATGGGGGCAATGATGCAAACTCTGTTGTAATTAAAACATAAAGAAAAACGTATTCTTAGCTGACTCTTTCAGTATCGTTCAATGCCTAACATTTCAGAAGATGAAAAGGAGAATGGTTCTGGAAATAATGGAAACACCGAAAACAAACCTGGGAAAGAATCCCCAGAAGCTTCTCTTCATGATCCCGTGAAGCCATACTGCATGTCAGACGCCTCCGCTGCGTCCTTGGTGTCGAGGGGAGATGGGCATTATCCATGGGGATGTCCTGTGACTCATACACGAGAGAAATTTTATACCATCTGCTCAGACTATGCTTTTTTAAACAGAGTAACATCTATTTGTAAAAGCCCAAGTGCTTCAGTTAGTGCCTGCCTGTCAGGCAGTGCTGCCTTAAACATTGGAATAGCTTAATCGGCATTCAAACTGGTGCTTCAGAGATAATCTACAGTGAAGAGGCTAACTTGGAAGGCTTGCCTGGCGATCTTGGAAAGCTTCCACTGGCATGGGAAATCGACAAATCGGAGTTCAATGGCATGGCCACGAATCTGAAGAACAAAGCAGGTGAGGTGGTGAAGATTTGATGTTGTGATAGCAAAAGGCTTCATGTTTACAACTTCTTTGTGGAGGGAGCTGGTCAGCACGTGTATCTCTTGGGGAAGTGCTATAGGAGAGCCTGTATGTCATTTCAAACAATTTGCTCATCAGGAAAGGAGGGAGTGATGGAGGAGGAGTGAAAGTCAAGTGTAGCTGCCTGGGGAAGTGGCTCTGAAACAAGGATGGCTTCTACTTAACCGTGTGTGGGTTTTTGTGGTGGGGTATTGTTTGTGGTGACTTTTGGTTTGTGTTTGGTTTTTTTTTCCTCCCTTGGGTTTTTGGGGTGTTGTTTTGGTTTTTTTTTTTTTCCTTTTCTTTGAGTAGGACCTAGTGGATTGTGCAGTGATGACTTTCACCTGTTAAGTACTGGTTTGTCACTTGCAGAAATGTTTCAAGGTACTTCACAGATGTATTTTGAAATTAAAGACATAGTTTATGGCAAGAAGTAAATGAAATCATTACAGTGTTATTTAGGAAAGCAGTTGTTTTCTGTAACAAAATTGTATATATTTTGATTTCCTATAGGCATACAGTGTTAGGGAGCCAATTTCTTTAAAACTGGCTCCTTTGGTGCCTCCTATGTTCTTTCTCTGCTTAGTCACAGATTGCAGCTGTGAATCAGGCACTTGCGCACACACACACACTTGGTTTTCTTTGTCCTGTAATCCCTCTGCTTATCTAGAGCTGGCTGTAGATTTTTTTTCCTTAATGGGTTGGCTAGCTAGTCAAGTTCCTGTTTTGTCTTATTAGTGTGAAACCAGTTTAGCAAAACTTAAATACAGTTAGCAAATTGTCATGGCCTTTTCACGTGTACATGTAGTGTCTTTAAAAATAAGAAACAAATGATAATATCTTACAGGATGGTAAGTTTTTTCTAAAATATATGTGGTATATTTCATTTGGATATGATGGCTTCAAAATGGGACAGAAATATTCCTGCTTTAGCACGTGGCCCAACTCTTCATTTTCCACTGTCTCAGTGGCTTACGAAAAGGAAAAGACCTTGAGAGTGTATTATTCTCACTGGATTTGCATGTAAGTTTTCATCAGAAGGTGTAGCTGGTTACAGAGCTTGGCTGTGAAAAACAAGTGTTTCATTACTTTTCCCCGTGCATTTAATGTTAGGAGATGGGAAGTCCATGTTGGTCTGAGAGTCTATTTCTGGGATGGCTGATTTAACGCATTAGAATAATCAGATTGACTGCTCTCTCTAAACAGTCAGGCAGGTCATCATTCATTCTATTCAGAAAAACACGACGTTGTTTACGGAGCTAATGGCAGCTTTACAAACCTGTTGACAATCTTCATTATGCATTTGGGCTTTTTCCTTCAATTAATGTTTAGTCCCAGTTTGCACTTACCTTCACAACCAGTGTCTCTATTTGAGGTGCATGCTGTTACTAAAAATATTTAAGAAGGATGATATTAAAGGTAAACTAGGCATTCGTTTCTGAAATCTGTTTTGCAGGCAACATGAAGAAACAAGTGACAAAGAAAAAATCCCTAGACAGAAAAAGCAAACAATACAGGGAGTGTCCTCAGCATTCTGCTCTTGAAGACGTGAAGGAGAGGAAAGTGTTGGACCTCCGGAGATGGTAGTATTTATGAATTGTATTTAAGATTATCCCCGTACAGTTTGTCAGTAAACACTGCTGCTGGTTATCTGATTTCAAACTTCTTAATAATGTCTTCATATTTTTTTAATTAGAAATGGGGATATGTTAAGCATACATAAACTAAATCTCATACTTTCTACAAGAAGAATGAGAACTTCTCTCCCATCTGTTGAAATTCTAAAACCATTTTTCTTTCTGAATGTTTTTTTTCTTTCAATAAGGAAAAAAATTATGTGGGGATTCATTGCTAAAAAAAATGCAAGTTTGTTAGCATGGTCAGGCAAAAAGTAACCTTAAACATAGTACAGATATGTCTTACGCCTGATTTTTCTTTTGACTGGGAAATACTTGATCAGAATCTGTCAGTTCTATACAGCCTATATCATGTGAATATAGTTCACTAAATTCACTTAGTTTAACGAATCTGTCTGGTTCTTACTGTATATCTATGACATCAGAAAGTTAGAGTTAGCCTAGGGAATCTGTGACCTGGAATGACATTTGTTAGTAAATTGGTAGAGATGCAGCTTATTACAAGTTCACGTGTAAGAAGAGACTGGATCAAACTGTACATTTTATTAGTACAGAACCATTTTTTCCTACAGGATCATTTGTACAGAACTCCCGTGGGACTGTTAGAAATTTGACTGATTTGTATGAAATAGGGTAGTAGTATCTGACAAAGAAATCGGTTAACATATTTGCTCTTTTCTTTTTTTTTTTTAAAGAATGCACTCCCTTTTTTTTTTAATACAGGTGAAGTAAAAACATTTAATATAACATGGCACTTCAGTGGCATGGCACACAGAAAAGTAGTTCAGGTTGCTCCTGTAACTAAATCAAGAATGCTTACTAATGTGTTTGGGTTTTTGTTTGTTTTAGGTATTGTGTTAGCCGACCTCAATACAAGACTTCCTGTGGAATTTCATCCTTAGTGTCTTGCTGGAATTTCTTATATAGTACACTGGGAGCTGGAAGGTAAGTCACACATAGGCCGCTTTGCCTCTAGAGAGTCTAAAATATATTGCTAATTACTTTATTAAACAATACTTTTTTTTTCCCCCCAGTTTACCACCTATTACTCAAGAAGAAGCTTTGCATATACTGGGCTTTCAGCCCCCATTTGAGGAGATTAGGTTTGGTCCCTTCACGGGAAATACAACTTTAATGAGGTATGTCTGATTCTTTTGATGTAGCTAAATTGTTAATGTATGCAAAAATAACATAAAAATAAGATAGCACTTTTAAAAATACAGTAGTAGTTCATTTATTTTAAAAAAAAAAAAAGTGTCTGACACAAGTTAGTCCTCTTAAGTTTTAGAATAATGAAGCATACCTGGGTACTCTGACAGTGCCCAAAGAAACCTTTCAAAGAGTTTTTTGCACTAGTCATTTTGTATATTGCGATGTTGCTACACAGATCAGGTGAATATGAAATTCTATTTGATTTTTGGTTCAGTTTGTTTAATGGTCGTGTAATACTCTAATGAATCCAGTCTCCTGGTTAGGAAAATTTTTTCTTTACCCTCATTTTCCTGTTTTTGAAAATGCATGTTAAATGCTTGTTAATGTCACCGAAACAGCCTGAAAAGGCAATCGATATACTAGTAGCTTTATGTAAAAATTAATTTAAGAATTGAAAATGAGATAGTGAGTGCTGCACTTTTGCTGCACTGGAGCTGTTCAGGAGAAGGAGGGGGGGGGAAAGAAAAAAGAAGAAAAAGAAAAGATGGGGCTGAAGTCACAGAAGACTTGGACTTTCAAATACTGTTTCACTTCTGCTCTGCTGTTTCCTGATCTTGATCGCTTGGGTCTAAAATCTTTGTCTTTTTTTTTTTCTTGTTTTATTAAACTCATAAGAAATTTTAGGATTAAACAGGGCCAGGAGCATATTGTACTTGAGTGTTGAACATCTTGACAGGGCTTTGGTGTGTTACCCTTCTGTGAGATCTAAAAATTTTGTGGTGTTCTTGCCTGTTTCATGAGTTGCATTTGATCTAGTTAGTATTTTTGAAGGCAATATATAAGGTTTGGCACAGAATGTGGGTGCTGGATTTGAAAATGTGGCAGCAGTCTGTTCTTTAATGGTAGCATACTGGCTAGATCGTTGAAGAGTGTCATGAAAATTTCCTTCTCTGCCTTGGGAGACTTGGATCCAGATTTTGTATCTCTTCAGGAGTATGTCAGGGTATAGCAACCCTTACAGACCAAGCTGATGAAGTGTTCTGTCTCTTTATGTCAACAGTCTATACAGCCAAAAGTTAAACTTGGCATTCTTCTTCGTTTTCCCCTGTGAGTGCCCTAAGCGCTGCAGAAAAGTTACCATTACGAGTTTTTTTTTTTTCTGCCTGGTCAAATAATTTTTAAGTACTTGGCAGACTGGAAAACAGGAGGGCTGAGAGCCAAACTCATCACCCGACACGGGTTTATGATTGAGGTATTGTCTTCAGAGAGGTGAATTCGAATCTTCTAATGTGGAAAAGTAAATATCTGAGACAAAATCTTCTTGGCAGACCTGTCCTCACTTAACTGCTGCTGTGAGGAGTTGCAGTATGGGACTCCTGTAACACTTGGGCATGGTGAAGCTTATGTGATAGAAACCCAGCACGATATGCAGAAAGTCTCGCTTGAAGGGTCCTGCCTTCTGATGTCTTAGAAGATTCTCTTTGTGCATCTTACAAATCATGGCTGAAGCTTGGCGTTTCAGAATGTGAGCGTCTTTCTAAAGGCTGAGTAACTGAAAGTTAGAGGTGACTGGACTGAACGCAATAGGACCAACGTTTCAAATCCAGCCCTTTGGTTATTATGTATCTATGTCGGGTCTGAAAAAGCAAGATGGAGGAAAAGGGTTTGAGTATTTATATATCCCTCTAGGGTATGTTAAGTTTTATTTGTATTAGGGTACCATGGTCATCTACAATCTATATACTACTGAGGTAGGTACTTAGTAGCTCACCGAGACTTTTTTCTTAAACTGTCAAGCAGAGGAAAAGTGGGAGGAAAGACAATTGCATTTGATAACTCTTGAGTTACTACAATCTTTAAGCCTATTGTTTCAGATGGTTTCGGCAAATAAATGATCACTTCCATATCAAGGGATGCTCCTATGTTCTGTACAAACCTCATGGGAAGAACAAGACAGCTGGAGAGACTGGTACGTAGCTAATCCTAAAGCATTCATCTTACAGTATATAAACTGAAAAATCCTGCAATGTGTAGCATTTGACAGGACAAATTCTGTACGTAGTACTTCCAGTTTGAGATAAGCTATCAAATAGCTCCAAGTTGCCTGATTTTTCTGGTTTTACTTTTATTTTGCTAAAACTTTCATTTGTACTTTTATTTATATAAAATATATTCTGTGCTATATCTTCTGCTATCACGGAACTGGAATTTTAAGGTATCCAGGAGGACACTGCACTTCCAGTTCTGTGTTGGTGTCCTGGAAGATGTGTTTGTTGTAATACCCTGGGGGAGCAGCAAGTTTTTATTTTGTCATTTTAGAAATCTATGTTGTATAAAAACTTAGAATGTACAGCACAAAAGTATTAATGTCTTTAATAAATATTTTGTACTTTCAAAAATGCAATTTTCAAGTTAGTGAACTCATCTGTTCTGCCTGATTTTAGCTAACATCTGTCTCCAAAAGTTAGGTGATTATTCTCAATTAGCTTACGAAGCTGCATTTTTAATGTTTACTTTTAAGTGTGCTACCTGAAGAAAAATTATATTTTCATATACAGTTTATTAGCCTTTGGTATAGCCTGGGTAATTATCTTCCAACTGGAAGGTTCTTTAAAAGGATAAAACCATGCTGAAAAGTTTTGGGGGAGATTATTAAAGTGGGAATCCCCTTTTTGTTCATGGTATCCCACTTGAGAATTCTTTCATGTTTCAGTGCCTTTCCTAGTCTTTTCCTGAAACTGAGCACTGCAGTCACATTACAAAATATTGTATGCCCAAGCGTGGGAGGTATTCCTGAGACTAGGAAGCTCCAAGAAGCTCATGATACCAAAACGTTTGAAAGCTTTCAGGGATTTCAGCAGTATCATTGATACGTGCTACATCTGACTGGGGGCAGTGGGACTGCATTGCGTTGCAGTGTGTATTTCCTAGGTTAAGAGATACTTTTGGTTCTTTTTTTTTTCAGAAGAAGTAATTTTTAACATGACTTTGATCTAAATACAATGTATACTTTATATTGCATTTCCCTAGTACAGACTGTGTGGCAGATGTTATTTTTTTTTGTACCAGGCAGGAAATTAAATACTAAGAAGTTTGAAATCAGAACTGTATTTTGTGCATGCCTGTCAGGTCACATCCTCTAATTTAAAAGCAGTGTAACTATTTTATGATATCAAATAGGTCTTTCTTGCTGAGGATGTTATGCAGGACCCGAAGCACTCTGAACTATAACCTGATCTTTCTTTGTAGCTGCGGGGGCCCTTGCAAAGCTAACACATGGACTGAAAGATGAATCAATGGCCTACATCTACCATTGCCAAAACCATTATTTTTGCCCAATTGGATTTGAAGCAACCCCGGTAAAAGCTAGTAAAGCGTATAGGTAAGATACTGTGTTTATGCTTGTTTTAGTGGAGGAAATGTACGGAAAAACTTCCTGCAAGTTGATACCGTTTTTCTCCCTAAATAACATGAGCATACGAAGACAATCCCTGACAAAATTAGCAGATAGCAATAGTGGGGAGTGCTAAACAATAGAAAGAGGAGGTCACTGGTGTAAGGTGAGCCTCAGTCTTGCGCTTTGCTTACCAAGCAGTCTACCTTTGGCTGTGTTGAAGATGCAGAGTCACATCAAGGAGTGGAGAATGCTAGCTCTACTTTTGGAGTTCAGAATGGTAATTGTGTGGAGGTAATAAAGCGTAATCATCTGAATCTAATCTGTTCCCAGTGTGAGACTGTGACCATGGGGTTAATGAAAGTTTTTAGTATATGAACAAAAGAATACAGAAGTTTTTTATTAAGACTGCATTCACTGACATGCCATGTGAGTGAGGAGAGTTTGGAAAATAGGCCCCGAGCAGAAGTCCAACACATCAGTCTGATTAAATTTACCAAAAGGTTAATGGCTTGCTTACTTGATCAGTTACTAAGAATCTGCACTGGAAGAGCAAAGTAAAAAAAAATTTGTTTACTGGACCAAAAATGCAGTTTGAGAAATAATATGGTCCAGCGTGTGGAAACTTAACATGCCTTATATCTGGTTTGAATTTATATTGTTTAGTAATGACTGAGAGCAAAAATTTCAATACTCTGCCCATGGTTGAAATGGATTCTCAGCCACTAGTGATGTTATTTTTAAGTCAACATTAGATTTTCTTCCTAAAAGCAGATCTCTTCTGACAATGTAACATGAAGTAATGACTTCAAGGAGCTTTTATAGCCTTATTTTAGGCTGGAGGTCAGACCAGAAAAGCATCCTGTTCTCTTCATATCTTCCAATATCTTACTGGGAAAAATGATGTTTAGGTTCCAGAAGCACTATTAATAGATTCTGCAGCAGTTCTTGTTTACCTGTTTTTGCATTCTAGTTACAAAGGAAAGATTTTCTTTAAAAATCAAGCTAAGAAATGTTTTAAGTTCCAAAAGAAATGGGTAGATAGGTTGCTAGGCTGAGCTTAGGAGAGAGTTCCTAGGTCACCCACAGACTTCCTGTATGATCTTAGGTTGCTGGATTTGGACTCGGGAGACCTGGGTTCAGTTCCCAGTTCAACCACAGACTTCCAGTGTGACTTTAGGTAAGTCAATTAATCTATCCTGTGTCTTGGTTTCCCATCTGTACAATGATGGCATACATTGTTGTTTTACAGGGCATTATGAGCAAAGAAATTATTGCAAGCAGTAAGGCCGTATGCTGTCTAATTCCCTAGGCAGAAAAATCTCAGTTTTTGTTACAGTTGAAACTGAAGTAGTTTTTCACAGGATAATTATACACAGGAAGTCACAGAACAATCCTCCGTATCTTAGCAGTCTGCCCTGACGTCTGTCACAAATTTTGCCTGACAAGGTTACAGCAGATTTTGAGTTTCTTGGAAGTTGCTCACAAACTTGAACGAGTATTGGTTGAGGGTTTTGGTTTTTAATATGTGGTATTGGATGCTTAGGAGGAAGGGATTGAAGTTACCAGTTGTCTTCATACAGGTTACCCTACAGCTGTCAGTAACAACTGTCAGCTGGGGTGTAGTTTAAAAATAGTGGAAGGGGCTCTTCCATGACTCTGTTAGACATCACAGATGGGGAGGAAGATGTTTGTTCCACTTTCATGTGGCTTTCCACAACTCTTATTTCCATTGTTAGATATATATTTATATTTGGATCTTACACTAGGCTGCCTTTCCTCCGAGTAACACTATTTTTTAGGAAGATCTGTCTTTTTCCCAAGTAATAAGCAATAGCTTCTATCTTGCTTCCAGGCCTTGTGAAACAAAAAGTTTCCCTGTATGCAATTCCAAACACTATTTATAGCGCAGGAGCTGGTTTTTAGTTTGGCTGAGGAAACAATTTTAAATGTTAGAAAATCCTAAAAAGAACAACAGAATGTTAATCTCTCTTTTTCTTTTTAGTATGCACAATAAATCTTACTAGGATTGTATCTTCTATTGAACAGAGGTCGTGTCTTGCAGCAAGAAGTAGAATATTGGATCTTGATTGGAGAGCCGAGCAGAAAACATCCAACAATACACTGTAAAAGGTATGTTACTTGGTAAAAATTTAAAACAATATATTTTCTTTCAAAACAAACTGTATTTCTCTACTAAGGGACACCAAGCGACTTTATAGGGTGGTTTGTTTTTTTTTTTTGAATGAATATACCATAGTATCATCGAGTCCAACCGTCAACCCAACACCACCATGCCCACTAAACCATGTCCCTAAGCGCCTCATCTACCTGTTTTTTAAATACTTCCAGGGATGGTGACTCAACCACTTCCCTGGGCAGCCTATTCCAAACTTCATGTTTTGACCTCAAGGCTGGCTCTGCAATTTTATATCGCGTGGCAGGACACATGTGGGCTGCTGGAAGCCATAGCCTGTTTCTCCTGTTTGAGCGTGACACAGCTCACGTTAGTCAGGAAGAAAAGACACCTCAGCTGTCTGCGGTCCTGCCAGTTGCGACATACAGGCTGCATGAACCTTGGAGGAGTTTATGCCGCGGTTGAGGACGTACACAGGCTGCGTCTGGGGTGTGCACAGGATATTATGCTGCTACCAAGATCTCCTAGCTCAGGCGCAGGTACAGCCTGTACTCTGTTGCGTTATTAGCTTGTCTGTGCATTAAAACAATACATTTATGGTGAGGTCTGGCTCATACGAAGCTGGTGTCTAAACTGGACATACAGACTAGGAGAGGTAGAGGGCGCTATGGAGAAAGCTCGTCGATGAGTTGTATTTGTCATGCTAAATTAATAGAACAGCTTTCTCAGCTTTACTTGACGTGCTAGTTCATAATGCCTAGTGTTAATTTCTGAAATGAGGGAACGGTGCGAAAGAACAGTATTCCTCAAGAAACCAATTCTGTGGCCAAAACATAGGTTTTAGCAAATAGCTTCTCTGCCACCCCCTGAGTTAATTATGCAGTGATTTTTCTTGATACATTAGGAAAAGAGCTTGGGGGGGGGGGGGGGTTGGGGGGGGGGGGGGAATCACACAATTTACTCTTTGTTTCCTCTTCTTTATTCTCTAATTATTTTGAAAATTGTTTGAAAGTGATTATCTGATGGTTTCATGGCCACTCAGATCTATCCCAGTACCTAAACCCCAGATACCTTCTTTTTTTGGTTTTGCTTTGTCAGTGATGTGATTATGTCAATAACTGTAAATAGCTGGATACTTTGAGCTAATGAGATTAAGTGTAACAAAATAAAAATCACATTATGCATGCGGTTACTGTGCTGAGAAATGGCGTACTATCCATCCTACTGACAGAATTTTGTCCTGTGGTAGGAGCTGCAAATGGCACAGGAAGAGGTTTCTGAATATAGAATACAAACCTTTGTAATATTATTTTTGATTGTGGAGACGTTCTTCCTCCTGCTACGGTCCCAATGAGAGCTAGCAGAAAGTTCTGTGCTTAAGGTGGGAGGGCAAAGGTTGGGGTAGAAATGGATTTTCTGAACTTGGAGGGTGATGTTAGGGAGAAGCAGGTAATTGGACGTTGACAGAACTGAAAAGGCGATGTGTAGGCTTAAAGAGGTCTGGAATATGGGGATATTTGTTGCAGTTGGGCTAGAAGGAGCTATGAAACTCTGAAGAGCTGAGTGAATGGGGAATGATTGAATTGATAGTTTATTACAGATGGGAATGAAATAAAACAGAGGAGTGAGTTGTGGTGAGAGCTGTCTGGTAAAAACAGATTTGGCGAAAAAAACAAGGGTTTGAACAAAATAATATAAAAGGGTAAGGGAGGATTAAATAAAGTAAAAGCTAGTGTTTCTCCTTGCCCGAACTGTGCTTTGCTTCTTCCTTTCACAAACTGATGAATTGGTAAGGGTAAGCAATGCAACTAATGACTCGAGTGCTCTTACTCATTTTGGAAGGTGTTTCCCAAGAGCAGGAATAATCACTGAATGCTTTAAGTGATGCTTTTACATCTAGCTTGATTTCTCTAATACTGAGGCTTTTATACTTTTACACGCTCGTTTATCTTGAAATCACTGGTAAGACTATTTAAAGTTGCAGATCTGTATTTGCATGTGTGTGTACATGAGTCTTAGTGGTGCTGAGGTTTCATAAATGTCAGCTGAGTAGTAATAATCTTATTCTGTAGGTGGGCAGATATTGTCACTGACCTAAACACCCAAAATCCAGAATATCTAGACATTCGACACCTAGAGAGAGGATTGCAGCATCGAAAAACAAAGAAGGTAAGGTAAACATACTAAGATGGGAGGAAATTCATGGTAGATTTTTGGCAAACTTATTCATACTTCAGTAGTGTAAGATAATGTCACTAAAAGTGTTGCTGAAGACAGAAGTCAGATGTGGGTACTTACATACCAGAGTCATTTGCATTTACTTGCAGGACGAGGTACGATACAGCAGTAGCCTGGCATATGCTGGGATGAACCAGGATATCTGCCTACACAAGATATTTGGTCACAATATTTAACCTTGCTGGCTTAAAATGTAGCTGCAGCGAGTATAGAAATACTCTACAGACAAATTACAGACAGATCCTTTTGGTGCGTGGCCTTCTAGCTACATGCAAGCAGGGAAGAAAGTACAGCAGGGCAGGACCAAACGTAAAAGAATGCACGTGTCTGTTGCGTGGACTTACTGTCAATACATACAGCTTTCTTTGCTATAGATAGGATGTATCTCGGTGGGGGGATGTATTTTTGATTTGCAGATTGAAAGTCTGTGAGAAATAATAGGCTGAAGAGATGATTTCAAATGTGGAGACCCTATGGAAGACTGTGTCAGCAAGATGAGAAGGGACCAGAAGAGATAATTTGTGTGAAAGTGGCTGGAGAGTAAAAAGACTAGCAGGAGATAAGTTACGCTAGCCCACGAAAGTTAAAAGGCATAACTTGAAAAGATGAGAAAGAAGGCAGTAACTCAATCTGGGAAACAATCAAAATTGATTGAGCCGAATTGTTTGTTTGTGGATATAGTTTTTTTTTGGGGGGGGTTGTTTGTGTGTTGTTGCGGTATTTTTGTTTTCTTTTTTAAAGAATTCTGTTACCTGCCAAGATGCTAATTTCGTGTATCTATGTATGTTACAAGTGCGCCTGCGTGCATCTAACGAAGAACCTTTTTACTCTGATTAGGTTGGAGGAAATCTTCATTGCATCATTGCCTTTCAGAGACTTAACTGGCAAAGATTTGGTCCTTGGAATTTTCCATTTGGAAATGTTAGACAGGATAAACAATCCCAAACACAAGGCCAAGGAATTTCCAAATCTGAGAGTGAAGACAATATCTCTAAGAAACAACACGGACGACTGGGTCGATCTTTCAGTGCTGGCTTTCATCAAGAATCTACGTGGAAGAAATCTGGTCTTCGTCAGAGAAGGAACAGTGGGTATCAGAGTTACAATGATTATGATGGAAATGATTAAAATTAACTTTAGATAATAGAGTTGATATATTAAAGTTAGTTTTAATCAAGACATATTAGGGATCTTTAGTCCTAGAACACATATGAATAGAAATTATGGTATAAGATACAGCTTCATAATTAGTAAATAAATCTGGTGATAAGGTTGCAACAGATGAGATCTGAATGTGTAAACTGACAGATAAGCACAGATTATTGTACTTTTGCAATCAAAAGTAAATATGACAGCAAAATCAATCATTTCTTTTGAAATAATTGTACTAGGTCCTGATCTGTGAAAACAAAAGAGCAGATTGAAATTAGTCAATGTAATAAATAGACTTCATTGAAAATACTTAGCATTCGAAAGCATGAAAATTTATTATATGACTTTATAAAAAGGGTTATTCTGCAAATGGTGTAAGGGTAAAAGTAAACATTGCCTTCCTTTTTAACACTCCATTTTGTTAAGGCTGCCCATATCCAGTGAAAATAAAAAAAATCACATAGGTTAGGAAACCCTGTCAGATTTACAAAGTGAACGTACGTTCTCCATTTAGTTCCCAGTAGACTTCTGTCAGTCAGGTAATCATATTTTGCCAAGTAGGTCTCGGTTCCTTTCCCCTTAGCTGGATGCCTGTTTTAGACTGAGAGGAATCGCCTGTGGCAGGGAAAGCTCGAGGACGGACCTTCTTTACTGCTTTTGCTCTGTGGGTACAGCGGCTGAATTCTTACCCTGGAGCCTCTTGAGAGCACGGACTCGCTTAACACAAGCTTGTGAAATTCAGTATTAAAAAGCTGCATTTACCATTAACCAAATGAGCCGGCTGAACACTGCGTTCTGTTGGCAGTTCTTTTCCTTGTTCAGTCTTAAAACTTCTGTCACTTTGCTGCTGCTCTTTTAATTTTCTGTGAAAGGGGTGCAAGTGCCGAAAACTGCTGGCAGCCCTGATGATATTATATACCTCTCAGCCAGCAAACAATTCAAGCTTTTTCAGGTGTCCGTGTGCAGTTTCTTCCCCCTCCCCGATTTGAAATGTATCCAGTTGTTTGCTCAAACACATCTCAACAGTTGTAACTTCTGCGTACAAATGTTCATACCTGCTCAAGGATTAATTTTTTGACATAAACAGATTTGTCATGGAATGCGGGGGTTTTGTAGGTTGCTGCTTTTGTTAACCAAAAATGGGAGACTTTTAGACTTTTGTTCTTTCAATAAAATTTGTTTTCTATTTTGTCGTTTGCTTTTCGTTTGTCTCGGGAATGGTGACCCTATGCTTAGTGAAGATTTTCAGGAAAGCAGGTAAACAAAGGGTCAGAATTGCAACCCCTGCTTCGCGAAGTAATCCTGGAGGTAAGATCTCTTTGCTCATAAGGCTGTGCAGCCTCTGTGACTTAACCTCTAATATTTAACTTCCCAAATTCTGCAGGCTGATGACTGAACAACACCCATAGGCTTTGAAAATGTAGGTGTTTTCCAGATGAACTGTGTTCAGACTTAGTTTTTGCAAGCTGGATTTGGGCTGAGGACACAAATCTCTTTAGAATACTTGAGCAGCGTTCTTCAGGGTACTTCAAGGCTTAAATGAGTTATATGAATGTATCCAAGTTTTGCCTAATAATGACAGTTGCATTGAGGAACAGGGAGTCACCTCTCCGATACTAGCTTGCTGCTATTCTTAAATAGGTGTGTAGCAATGGACGCTATTTTCACAGTCGCTTTGTTTTGCTCTTGCTTTGGAGACCGTCAGGCTTCATCATGAAGTAGGCGGCACCTTTAATTCTTCCAGCATTAGCAAAAAAGGAAGATGCGTGTGCTCAGGGACCTAGCGAAGGCTGCCTGCGGCTTTCCCTAGGGATTCCCTGGTGGGAGAAGCGGGGTGCAGCGAGGGGCGCTGGGGATGCGGTGGGAGCGGAGCGGGGGTCTGTGCTACCTGTGCCTTCTGGCTCGTTTTGTGAGAAGCCGGGGAGATGTCTAGCGGCTGAGCGTTGCCC